ACAGCAAGAGAATGAAGACAAGAAGCAAATATTAGGAAGGATAAATGATAGAAATCAGTTGAGACTAAAGGCCAGAAATATATACTTCATTTTTAAATGGGTATCTATCATACATTTATTTGGCTCCAAGGCTTTTGAGGTCGAAAGAAAAAGAAACGAAAATCAGCTAGACAGAAAATAGACTAAGTCTATCGTTCATATCCCAGGGAAAGAGATTGGATGGATGGATGGATGGATGGGAGGACAAGCTTTGGCTATAACTGAATGCTTTAAGGAAAGCAATAGGGTTAGTTTGGCCAGAAAAGAAGAAAGAGGGTGTCGGTGTGTGTGTGTGTGTGTGTGTGTATGTGTGTGTATGTGTGTGTGTGTATGTGTATGTGTATGTGTTCTTGCATGTATGCATGCATTTCGATGCATTCATCACTTGCATACAAGCTTTGCTATTCCTCCAGAAGCTTTCACATTTCAAAGCTATCCCAAGGCCTAGCCATTCTTGTCAATACTTTACATCTCCATCGATAATTACACCTCCTTTTTATTTTCTGATTCAACCCCTTTTTCATCATCTGTTTATTAAATTCTTTCAGTTAAAAAAAGAAAAAAAAATCTTTTATTGTTAATTTTTTTTTTATTCGATGATTGCATATTTGCTTGTTTATTTATTCGTTTATCTGTTTAATTGATTGATTTTTTAATCGATTGATTTCATTTGTAAAGTATTCGTAAATGGAATATTTTTAAAATATTTGATATAAGTAAAAGAAAAAAAAAAAACGAAAAAGTTTAAAGAGGCTTATTGTCTGTTTTTTTTGCTTAATCGATAATTTCAAATTTCAGGAAAAATTTTGCTTTTTTTTTTTTTTGGAATATTCGAATTCTCCAAGGAGATGAAGAAATCGAACAACGATTTGCCTACTCATTGACATAATATTTGGATTGAATGAATGAATAAACCATCATTTTTAGTACTTCATCAACAATCTTATACGATTTCTTCATGCATAATATCTTTTTCCAATCATAAAATAATAAATGATAAATGATTAAAATTAATAATAAGTAATATTCAAATTCATAACAGTACTTTTAAGCATTGAACAAATTATTACTCTTTTTATTGATAATTTGATAATAGTCAAAAGTACAGTTTAGTTTACTTTATATAAAAATTGGCGCTGTTTGTTTTGAAACATTCAGTATGTACATATTGCGCATAAATGCATATTATTTCTATGATTCATATCATTTAATTATCATTCATATCATTTAATTATCATCTTCTTATCTTCTTTGCATAAATTATTTGTTAGCATAAATTGCAATTTAATTTTTACTTATTTAAACAACAAAAATTCAATCAGAATAATCGATCATAATGTGGTAAAAATAGGAAATGATGATACAGAATCGTACTGTTGAAGAATTTTGATCAGTTTGAGAACATGTTACTTTTTTTGTCAAATAACAAAGGTTACGCTATAGTGTTACAGGTTAACCTTTAACCTTTTTAATTTTATCTTCCTATAAGTAATACAAAAATCACTATAAGAAGAAATAAGGTTTATGCTGTAATTCATACATACACTAAAATGTGATTGAAACTTTAGCGAGTCAGTTAAAGCCCTTTAGTAGCCACATATATTTTATTACTGTCATAACCATTCTAGTAATTTATTGAATAAAAGTTTTTTTTTTGATAAATCGTTAAGGGAAGCCGCAAGAAATATAATCTATGCTAGGAAACCAAGTGAACTTCATCGATTTAATTGTATGGTTTGCATCACAATGATGCCTCATTTAAATAACTTTGTCCACAATGAATGATCTGTTTACAGTATTATTTTTTTTTTTTCGTAGACATACATCTTCTATCATAATATTTACCTTATTCCTAAATAATTTCCTCACTTTTCAAATTTGTCATTCAAATTTGTCACGACATTTCTTTTCCAATATCATTTGTATCTTAAACAAGGATATATTTTGTTAGTTATGATAGTTTTTGATAAGATCACCATTTCAGTTCATATTGTAGAAGAAGACAAAATGCTTGAATATTTCATTTTACAATTCTCATAAATGTAAGAGAATATTTCTTTCGAGTTAATAATATTGGATATTTGTTGATGTAAAAATTTCCATTTATCATTTTCAAGCTGGTTTATATTGATTCTTACTGATATTATTTTTGCATGACATTCAAGCTTGTCCTTAATTAAGCTAATATTTTGAAATTAACTCTCTGCTGCTGACGGGAATTTAATCAACTACTAAATCAATTATTAAATGTTTGCTATTTTCAGATCGAGCATTTCTTTTTTTTTTTTTTTAAAATCAACTATTAAAAGGATTGAAATTACAAGTGTGCAATATCTTTTATTGAAACGAGTGCAATTCGAAATCAAACATCAACTATTGCAAATATCTGGACAAACAAGTATCTAGCATCGGATGTTAGTTCTAATTCCATATGACAGCAAACTTTTAACTATTTTATTTTTTATTTTTTTTTTTTTATTCCTGCATAATTTACTTAACAGCAGCTAGCATTTGCAAACAATCAGCAAGACAATCAGCATTTGCATGTTATTGATATGCTAAATTTTGTCATCTGATAAAAAAAGAAACAAAAAAAAACATTATCTACCTGTGATATATTGATTTTATCAGTGATATCACCAAAAAACAAGAAGTTGTTTACTTATCAAGAATTTTTTTAATCATTGATTATTCATCTTACAAAAATATTCATTAATTTTTGACTAAATTATACTTCCCAATAAATGACGTGTATGACGTGTATGACGTTTATCTTTTAAATAATACACACGTTTATTTATTTCATTAAAAAAAAACAATATGACGTATGCTAGTAATCTTTTCGCGTTCTTCCTGACGTAATTTTTGCGTTATTTCCGTTATGGTTACTTTGTATTGTTATAGAATAATTGATAATTTATGTTCATATGATATCCATACGTCGGAATATTTCTTAGATGATGGGTTACAATATCTTTGACTAAAATATTTGTACGGTTAATTTTTCAGTTGAATTGCCGAATGGTTTGGATTATTCGATGTTAAGCTGATCAATATGAGACTATAATGCTTTTTAACTTTACTTAGACTATACTTTGTCATTTTTCGGCATTTCGTATCCTTTATGATTGTTAATAAGTGCCTAAATTACATTTTTTACCAAAAGGATTAAAATTATCCTTCAATTGAGTAAATTTCCGAAAAAAAAAATTCTCCTACATATATAAGTAACGTTCATAACTATTTCTATTTCATAACCTTTGAACTCACATTTGATTTGTTTTTTTTAAAATCGTTGAAATTAAATATTAAAATGTTTGAGTTAAAATTTCATGCCTAGTTATTGAGAAATGTTTAGTTATTGAGTAATTTTTTTTTTTAAATGTATAATGAAAACAGGAAAATAAGAAGAAAAGTAAACCTTCTATTGCAATATTTTTTCTCGTAAGAATCATTGAAAAATTCATTTAAATAATTTATATTTGAAAATTAATTTTCATTTTTCTCCTTCTTTTACCATTAACAACAAATTTAATCAAATCAATATGAAATAATCACGTGCCTTTTAACATTTAGAAAGTAAAAGATGATGAAAGGATGTACAACGGAAAATTTTCTGAAGTGTCATTTCATTTTTAGGATAGATCTTTGCTTGTTATCATTCATTGAAATGAAGATTTCAAGTAATGTGTCTTCGTCCATTTGTTGTTGATATTTTCTTATTTAATATTTGTAAGATTACTTATACTATTTCTCTATACTTTTTCCTTCTTCTACAATTTACTTATTTAAACTGATAATTCGATATGATAATTGATTTTTGCATAGTTTACTTATTATGTCTTTTTTTATTGATGATAATTTGTTCAATTTATTTATGATAAGATTATCATATTCATGCTATTGCAATGACGATAATATTTGATTACTGAATAAGTTTGATATTTATAGTATCATCAGGTATATGTGCCAATTATTGATCAAATAGTATTGGTTAAAGTTATGTTAGGATAATATTGCATGGAATAATATTATTACCTATTAGTGTTATCAAATAGATGCCACAGATTATCACTTACTACTACTACTATTTACTGAAATCGATTTCAATGAAATGTCCAAACATCATTTGTTGTCATAGAATAAATCGATTTATAATTCCATATTTAATTTCACATTTAAGTAAGTCGGTTTTTCATTTCACATTTAATCCACAGTTTTTTGTTCTATTCCAAAAACATCCATAGTGAAATGAAAGATCTGACCAAGTTTTTATGAACTTATAAATTAAATGACGGACTAAAAATCAAGTGATAAACTACTAAAATTCCATATGAAATATATTTTATTGTACCAAACAATCTATTCTTGTCTACTAAAAGAGTAGGCAACCTTTTAATATGCTCTTATCTTGTCAAAATATGCTTTTTTCCTGATCCAGAATGTCTTTTCCGTAAGTTTACACACAAGAGAAATAAATTATTTCCATTCTTTTCTTATTGATATTTTTTATTAAAATTTTTTGTGGCATTTTTTTTTTCGATTTTTCTCTCATAATCAACTGCAATATATTTATAATTTTCTATTAATTTAATTTTAAACCAATTGAAATTTTCAAAAATCAATGATAATGCTGTAAAAAGAAATAATTTTGAATGGATAAAAATAATACAAAGTATATTTTATATATTGTATATTTATTAATGTCACAATAGTTAACCATTCAATGTTCATCCTTGTCACATACCTCAAAGCCTATACTATCCATCTAATCTGATCATCTTTAGCTTTATTAATTCTTTTTTAACTTTCATTTATAATTTAAAAAAAAAAACGAAAAAGTTATGGATGAAATTTATGACACATATATATATACTCAATATAAACATTTTAGAAGTAAACATATTGAATAAGTTTGTAATCGATTTGCAATAAAAGAAGAATATAAAAGTAAACAATTTATATGCCTACATCTCATTACTATTAGCCCTAATATTGAATTACAAATGTAGTAAGCCTCAAAAACCACCATTATAAAAGTAAAATATTATCCTTAAGATTTTATAGCCATAACTAGTATAGTTATTACTATCACATTAGTATTACTTATTAATATCATTTATAGTTTTTAAAATTTTTTAAATTTATAAAAAGGAGTATTTTAAATATTAAAAAATAACACTGATCGATTTAGTTTAATTGATATTCGAACAAATTCATATGAGCTGTTTCATGAAAAAAAAAAAAAGAAAGAAATATAATGCCACTATTCTTATTTTAATCCTTTCAATCTATTTTCATGCTTAAACTATTTATAGTTACTGGATTGGTTTTTTTTTCTTTTTTTTAAAGTTAACTGACGGAAATAAAGCCATTTTTTGTAAAACAAAAATCTTCCGAAACAAATATTTATAT